GCTCGGAGTCATGCCATATCGGTGTGTGCGATCGTCCAGAGACTAGCCCTCGTCGTCGACTTATGCGTGCTGAAAGCGCTCCCGCCCATCGGCGTGCGTCTTGTTGGTCATGATGTAGAGAGCCATGAGCAACACTTATGTCCTGCGCCAACCTTGCGACCACTAGGTACAGTAGACGAAGACCTCACTCCTCCACGCGCGCAATAAGATCGAGATCGCTGCATGGGCCCTGCCCGCTACCTGCGCCCAGCGCACCTCGCTACAAGCCTCGAGTAGCTCGCAGTAGACGTGGTCTCTGTCTGGATGGATGAAGGACATGAGATGGGTTCATGGAGGAGCGCAACGAGTACATGCCGCCATGGCCGCCGCGCTTCGTGACGATCTTGCTTGCATGACGACAAATGAAGAATGAGTCGAATGGAAGAAACGCGTGGCTGTCATAGACTGCCTTTTTTCAGGCCTAATCAGCGAGGCTTTGTTTCGGATAATCCTAAAACCAAGCAATAATGAACCAGAAATTCCTCAGACCCCAATTTTTGAATAACGGCGTTATGAGCGCTTATTCCAAAAAATCCTACCGAACGCTATCAATTATCACGATAATCGATTATTCCAAAAATAATCGTGGATGGGGTCAATAATGGCGAAATAAGTCCATTAATGGCCAACCGAACGAAGCCTTAATCACTTCCGAGTACATGGCATCAAGTAACCTGCACCTGTTCCTGCACAGCGTGTCCTGAAGTAGAATGAATAATCGGTCGCGCGTCCAGCAACGCAGCTCGGAATCCTGTGGTGGACAAAGGCATCTATTCGTTGGAACAATAATCGTTCAAGAAGCGTCGCGGCGCAACATCGCGTTCATTTTGCGTGATCCAATGTGATCCATGCCCGCTAGATCATCAGCGGGTGCGGTCAAAATCCAATGGCTGGAGTGGCTTTGCAATGGGTCTCGCCCCGCCGTCGGATAGTAATTGCACTATCCAGTACCACTTGAAGTAACACCGCCAATTGCTTGCATTGATAACCGTTCGCGATCACTTGCTGGGTCGTGAATGGACGTAACAAGGTAATTCGTACGTAGCGTCACGTGGCGCAGTGCAAAGCCACGGCGTTGCGACCAATAATGTAAGACCGATTGCGCATCCGACTTTCTGTTTACGCTGCACGTACGTTCCCCGGTATGTGTACAAGGTGTGTCGTTGCCATACTTAGTAGCGCTCCGAGATCGCTCTTGTCGAGTCCGAGATGCTCGTTGAAGCAAGTAGCCATCCCTTCCTCCCGCGGAATATACGCTCTGGCCTCCAAGTATCTAACGCCAGCGCCGTGCCTCGTTGAAGGCGACGGCGTCGACTCTGAAAACGCATGTCACGCACTCGCGCTGCCGCCGGTCACAGGAAAGTGCAATTATCGAAAGAGAGAGGTTTCCGGATACACGCGGCCGGCATGCCACCCGATGGAGCAGTTTTTAATGTCACTGGAACAATGTAGCAGGTCGCGTGACCCGTTTTGGATATAAATACTCATTTATCCGGATACGGCCGTTTTGACGGCGATGGACTTTTTGATTTGGCCACGACCGAGCATTGAGCAGCATGGCCAGTAAGTCCTCCAAGCAGTGGACGACCGCCAAGATCTTGTCTTACGGCGTTGGCAATGTTCTCAACGACATGTGCGCGTCCTCCTGGTTTAGCTACCTCCTCGTCTTCCTCAACGACGTGGCGAAGCTCAGCCCCGTCGATGGCGCGATCGTGATGTTTTCGGGCCAAATCGCCGACGGCATTGCGACGCCACTCGTCGGCGTGCTCTCGGACCGCTCGACGGGGTTCCCGTCCATTGGCTTTGGTCGCCGCAAGACGTGGAACGCTGGCGGCTGCGTGCTCGTCATGCTTTGCTTCTTCTTTGTGTTTGGCGCCTGCCTCCCGCGCTGGTTTACCGACGCGCCGTCGTCGACGGTCCTCGTGCTCTACTATTGCACGGCTGCGAGTCTCTTCAATGTCGGGTGGGCGGCAGTCCAAGTGTCGCACATGGCCATGGTACCGGAGCTCTCGTCCAACGACAACATCCGCGTGATCCTCAACAGCGTCCGGTATGCGTTCACGATCCTCTCCAACGTCATGGTCTTCATCGCGTTCTTCTTCCTCTTGCACGACGTCTCGCCGTACAACGTGCCCGACCAGCTCAAGTTTACGCTGCTAACGATCTTTACGATGGTCGTTGGCGGCCTCTGCACATTCTACTTTCTCATTGGCACCGAAGAAAAGTGCGGCCCGACCAATGTCGCCGAGATCCAATCGCTGCGCGCGCGCCGCAACAGCCCCGCGGTGCTGGACCACGGCCACCGCGGCCCGGCCGATATGCCGTTTGAGGCCGACCTCGCGCCGATGACACCCGTGTTTGCGACCGCGACCGCCATGACGTGGAAGTGCTGGTTCAAAGTGTGCATGTTCTATGAAGTCGGCATGGTCTACATGTGCACGCGCCTCAGCGTCAACGTGACCCAAGTGTACATTCCGTTCTTCCTCACGATCTCGCTGCACATGAACGCGGCGTCGATGGCGATCGTGCCGCTGCTCGTCTACCTCTCGGGCTTTGTCGCGACGTTTGGCATGCGCTACATGAACGACCGCATGGGCCGCGAAGGCACGTTCGCCTTCGGTACCGGGCTCATGGTTCTCTCGCTCATTGCGAGCTGGTACCTCACGATCGAGACGTCGCATTGGATCTACCCGCTCTCGACGCTTCTCGGCTTTGGCCAAAGCGTCGTCATGGTCACGAGCGTCTGCCTCGAGGGCGACCTCGTCGGCGACCAGAACGAGTCGGGCGCGTTCGTGTACGGTGCCATGAGCTTCACCGACAAGATCTCCAACGGCATTGCGGTGCTCCTCATCCAGAACGCGCGCCAGGCGCTCACGAACGACGCGCTCGCGGACGCGTACTTTGTGCGCCAGATCTACTGCCTCGTGCCCGGCCTTGCCGTTGTCCTCGGTGCCATCACGCTCTACTGGATGCGCTACGGTAGCGGCACGCTGAACCTCAAGCCGCGCCGTCAGAGTGTCCACGAAGGCTCGCAGCTCCTGCACGAAGAAGGCAGCTACGGGACGGCCCGCGTCTAGTCGGTCTAGTACTGTAGTAATACAACTGCATCTTTGATAGACGTCGAGGGTGCATGGGATGGGCCGTGGCGTCGTCAAATGGGAACGCTCTTGTGATCCCGCGTGCAATCTCGAATTTTCTACGACACCGGATAGCGTGCCACGTCATCCGGAAACAATGCGGACTTGTGTTATAACAGTCCACACTGTGTGCTGGCATATCGTCATGAGTTAGGAGGCCAGGTGGTGCTAGCCTGTGTATTCGCACACCATAGGCTTACAGTGGTCGCTCTGTCATCAAACATGGCCCACAACCGTGCGCCACGATGAGGTCTGCAGCGGTCATCCCGCCAAGGCTCGCTGGCCTGTTGTTGTTGAAGTGGGTCTTCTATTAAAATAGATACGTAAATCTATCTCTCGCTGGCCTGTTATGATCCTGGATTTGTGGAGTTATAACATGAGGTGGACGAAATGTCGTTAAACCGAGGGAGCGAGGGCGCGGATGATATTGGCCATCACAACCTCAACGCAATGGCCACGAAGAAGGCAGACGCCAACGACTACTCGCGCTTCGACAAGATCTCGGACGCCGACGAGGCGCCAGGCGCGGACTGCCGCAACTGCGGCACGACAGGCGCCAAGCTCAAGTGCTCTGTCTGCAAGAAGGCCACGTACTGCCACCGCGCGTGCCAAACCAGCGACTGGGCCTACCACAAGCGCATTTGTAAGAAGCCCGAGGAGCCCAAGAAGCTGGCTGCGTCCAAGCCTACGCCAACGTCGTCAACGGCTGCGACGTCGACGACCAAGGCTGCGACGACGACGACGACATCCGCGGCCAAGGCCAAGCCGGCCAAGACCGAAGTCGTTGTCGAAGACGAATCCATCGAGAACGCCAAGGGCTACAAGAACGGGCTTCCGTACTTCCACCGCGAGCAGTCGGAGCACGAGAAGGCGCTCATTGGCGACATTGCGCCCAAGAAGATTGAAGAGGTCGAGGTAGTGGCGCCGGCACACGACGGGTCGGCGTGGAACACGGCCGGCACCTTTGAGCAGCGCGACTTCACCAAGTGGGCCAAGGTATCCATGGCGTCTGCTATCCTCTTCTAATTCGCTATATAGGGTCGCCTCGAAGAGCTCCTCTCGAGCGTCGAAGTGCTGCACTCGAGCACGACGATCCGAACCAAGCCTGTAAAGGACCTCAAGGGCGACGCCTCTGTGTGCGTCATCCGCGGCAAGAAGCGGTACGTCCTGCAATATATGTTGTTCTGCCGCGTGCTCAAAACAAATAGGTTTCTCTTTGACTTTGAATTTACGCTCGAGTGGGAGACGGTCGGACTGAACGCCAAGGGGAAGCTCAAGTGCCATGACATTGGCAACGACGGCGACTACGAGATGCAGTGCTCGTACGACAAGAAGCCGTCGGACGCCATCGAGGCCCAAGCCGTCCACGCCGCCGTCACGAGCAAGACGTGCGGCCTCCACTTCGCCGTCGCGCAAAAGATCGCGCAGTTCTCGACCGACTTTCAGGCCTTGTAAAGCCATGCAACAACGTATGTTTTAGACAGAGTCTGTGACTACATACAACGCACAACGGCAACGACAGAGTGGGCGACAGAGCCGGTAGCATCGAGGTGGCTACTGCTATGGACGCTTGACGCACGCGGTAATTGTACAAAGAGGCTCGCAGACGCATGTCTCTCACGAGGTATTCTGCTTCCGAGCATGGCTACACCGCAGCAGCCTTCTCTCGCGGCGCTTGCGTGCGCCAGATTTGTGGCGATCCAGCCGTCGAGTGAGTTGCAAGGTCGGGATGTACTGCGTTGGCCAATCAGCAGCGTCCGGACCTTGAACTTGGGTAGGGGGTCCCTCCAAAAGGGTCGTGCGGTGATCTTGACACATCTGAAAAGCACTCGTCGGACGCCAATGCTTCGCTCTTTGACCCGGCGCCGCCTCCATGCGCCGCTCGCCCGCCACAGCACGCGCGCCATGCACCAGCTCAAGATGAGCCCCGAAGTCGAAGCTGCGCTCCGGGACGGCAAGCCCATCGTCGCCCTCGAGTCGACGATCATTAGCCATGGCATGCCGTTCCCGCAGAACTTTGAGATGGCGACCAAGGTCGAGGCCATTGTGCGCGAGAACGGCGCGTGTCCCGCGACGATTGCGATCCTCGATGGCGAGATCTGCGTCGGCCTCGCCGACAGCCAGCTGCACACGCTGGCATCGCTCGGCGCCAAGGCCACCAAGTGCTCGACGCGTGACATTGCGTCTGTCGTCGCCTCAAATGGCACGGGCGCAACGACCGTCTCGAGTACCATGTACGCATCCGCTTCCTTGGGTCGTATCATGCAACCTTGTGCGTAGGCGCATTGCGCATGCAGCCGGCATCGACGTCTTTGTGACGGGTGGCATTGGCGGCGTCCATCGCTTTTGCGAAGAAACACTCGGTGCGACAACGAGTGCGAATACCATGTTGGTGCTTATGCGCTCTGGTAGACATCTCCACCGACTTGATGGAGCTCTCCCGGACGCCTGTCGCGGTGATTTGCGCCGGCGTCAAGTCGATCCTTGATATCCCCAAGACGCTGGAATTCCTCGAGACAAACGTACGACTCGTAATAACTACGCGTGGAGAGCCCATATTGGGGTGCGTAGGCGGTGCCGGTTGTGGGCTATGGCACCAGTGAATTTCCTGCGTTTTTCACGACGACGAGCGGCTCCAAAGCGCACGTCCGTCTCGACACGCCCGGTGCGATCGCCAAGCTCATTGCGACGAGCAAGAACCTGGGCCTCCCGAATGGGTTTGTCGTTGCGGTGCCCAACCCTGCGCCCGCGGACGCTAACGTCATTACGCACGCGATCGAGTCGGGCCTCGCGCAGGCCAAGGAAAACAACATCACAGGCAACGCCGTCACACCCTTCCTTCTCAAGCGCATCAACGGTACACGCATGCTACGAAATGCGCCATAGCCATAATTTGCGTTTAGAGCTTACCAAGGGCGAGTCGCTCACGTCCAACATTGCGCTCGTCGAGCACAACGCCGTGATTGGCGCCAAGGTACGCGAACCGCGGTCTCTACGGGCCCAGAGCGTCTCGTGTAGATTGCTGTGGCGCTCAAAGCAAGCGCGACGCCGTTGCCCTCGAACGCCGTCGACTCGGACGTGGTGGTGGTTGGCGGCACGGTGCTCGACATCATTTCGCGCCCGTCGGACCAGTTTGTGCATGGCACGTCCAACATTGGCCACACCAAGCAAACGTGGGGTGGTACGTAGATAACACTCAATAGCGTCCTTTTTTGCTCAATTGCGTTGATTAGGCGTCGGGCGCAACATTGCCGAGTGCCTCCATCGCCTCAACGTCACCACGCTCCTCGTGTCAAACGTGGGTCGGGATGCTGCAGGCGCGAGCCTCCTTCAGCAGCTGCAGGCCATTGGCATGAGCACCGCCGGCATTGCAACGCCGGCTGCCCACGCGACGGCCACATATTGTGCGATGCTCAACGGCGCTGGGAACCTCGAGGTTGCGATCGCCGACATGTCGATCGCCGAAGCCATGGATGACTTTGTACGTGGCTACCGACGCGACGAGCATATCATGTGGTTGATTAGGACGTAGCGGAGTGGACGTCGCCGTCGACCAAGGCAGTCGTCTTCGACGGCAATCTCTCGGCAACGACGATGGCCAAGGTTGCTGCGGCAACCGTCCCGCTGTTGTGGTTTGAGCCGACGTCGGTCGAGAAGGCGCGCCGGGTCGTCCACGCCGGCGCGCTCCCCCGTGTCCACGCCATCTCGCCCAACTCGGACGAGCTCGCGGCCATGGCGCGTGCGCTAGTCGACGACGAAGGCCACTCGCAGTGGACGACAGTCGATGCTGCGTTCAACGTGCCAAAAGGCCAGCGCCACATCCCACTCGTGGATGGCATCGTCACGGACCTCCTCACGGGTATGAACTGTCTGTGGGATGCAAATAAGATGTGGTGTTAGTCGCCAAGGTCATGCACTCGGAGAAGAAAAAGCCGGTGCACGTGCTCGTGACGATGGGCAAGGACGGTGCCGTCGTTGCAACGACCGACACGGTCCGCCAGTTGCCGCCGGGCGGTGTTCACTACGGCAGCTGCCTCTCGCCGCCGCTCTCGATCGTGTACCTCCCGGGGACCCCGAAGAGCGTCTGGAACTGCACCGGTGCCGGTGCGTCGACCATTCTGGCGTCTGGCTCTGAAGCTCAGTATGGTGGTTAGGCGATAGCTTTGTGGGCGGCACGATCTATGGGATGCTCAAGGGTCACGATGTTGTGCAGAGCGCACACATGGGCATGGTACAGCGGGTTCTGCAAATATTGAGCGCGCTAAGAGAGTTCTTGTGCTTAGATGGCGGCGCGCAAGAGCCTCGACTCGGACTTGCCCATTCACCCGGAGCTCACGCCGCATGTCCTGCAGGGTTAGGGCTCCTCGACGCAAGCGCAAAGCTTTTCGGTGAGAGATCTCCCTTGACCATGAGAGTACTTTCGAAGTTTTCACAAATTGTTGAAATCAAACGTCATGTCGATGTATCGATCCTTTGATTTCTCCACTCGGTTTTGATACTGGCTCGAAAACGTTCGCTCCGTCCACCAGTTTAGTGGTCAAATTAAACCGGAAGTAGACTTTACCATTCTTTGATCGCCTCTCTCATCTCCGGTCTCGTGGTGATCAAGTCGCGGGGCAACTACAAGTAGAAGATCTACAAAAACCGTGGATGTCGTTGATCTACAAACCCCTTGGCTGTCGTTGCCCAGTGTAAATGACGCAAGGTTTGCTACCACATCGGATTGCAGAGCCAGGAAGCGTCGAGAATAACGACAGATTGTGCCTTATACTACCGTGCGTAGGCTAGTGAGTGAATGAATGCTAGAGTTATGTCCAGAGTACGTGGCGTGATGTGCTGCATCATGGGTCAATATACCGTAGCTGCATGCAGTCGGAAACATGTGCAGAGCGAGGTGGGCTTCGCGAACCGACGGTCCATGGCATCTGCGAGGCCTCGTCCATTCGTTCCAACACATGACGCCGGGCAAAGTGCTTGCAGTTGCCGGTCCCCACGCCATATTACATAACTCATCACCACTTCGGAAAGGCCGCTCACCAAACTCAAACTCAACAGTGCTTCAAGTGTCGGTTAGGAGATGTAGTCTCCGCCGTCATCGCAAACGTGCCAAGGGACGCCAAGCTTAGCAGCAACGTTACCTTTACTTGCATCAGCCCAACACAGCTACTGGTACAGTCATACTGTAGCCATAGGTACATGTTAGACCAAACGGCATCTACACATGTATGCCGAGTCTACTTCTTGGAGCTCGTGCCAGCCCCTAAACGATGCCAGTCATTCTGGTCGCATGCTTGAATGGACGGACTGGCCAATAGGAGCTTCACAAATGCGTGAGCCAGTGCTAGTTTAAAGGAGTCCGTATGCTCATAGGGCCCTCGAAACGCGGGAATCGCTCGAGATCTGCCCATGACGAATTGTGGTCAACGTGCATGGTCAACTTGCCGGATCCGGATATCACATTTCGGTTAGAAGAAACGCAGAGCGGAGTCAGTGTGCGTGGCCACAGCGGTTTCTCAAAAGCGAAGTTTGAGCCGAATGTGGAGCCGCTCAGTTCGAATTTCGAGGGTTGGGCAGCGTTCGACTTGGCGCAGCAGCAGCACAATGTCCTCGGTCAACTACCACGTCGTGGGCTGGAAGAGCTGTACGTCGCCTGTGCCCGCTACCAGTCGTCAGTACTTATGCATGCGTCGTAGGCCCGTACTACGAGCGGGCGGCCAACGTCGCGGTCTCGATGCAAACGCTGTTCCCGGGCCAGGTCAAGGCCACGATTCATGAGCATGCGACCAAGCAGTCGTTCAACGACTGGCTCGAGACCTCGCAAAGCACGTTCGCGACGCAGTTTGTGGGCGACGCGCGCGCCACGAACCACTACACGTCGCCGTTCTGCTACCTTGAGGACGGCGCTGGCACCAAGTTTGTCGGCGGCTGCGACGACACGCTCGCGTTCTTCCGGTCGCGCACGCAGAGTGCGGCCGCGCCGTCGGCGCCTGCCCGCAATGTGCACGCCAACGACGTGGACGACGGCGCGACGTACGACTGGGACCTCGTCGTCATTGGTGGCGGCTCGGGCGGTCTCGCCGCGTCCAAGGAAGCGGCCAAGTACGGCCAGAAGGTGCTCGTCCTCGACTATGTCAAGCCGTCGCCGCAAGGATCAACGTGGGGCCTCGGCGGCACGTGCGTGAACGTCGGCTGCATCCCGAAGAAGCTCATGCACCAGAGCGCGATCATGGGCGAGCTCCTTCACAAGGACGCTGAAGCCTTTGGCTGGGCGGTGCCGAACGCGACCTTTGATTGGACCAAGCTCATCACGTCTGTCCAGGACTACATCCACGGCCTGAACTTCAAGTACCGAGTCGACCTTCGCGACAAGAAGGTCAAGTACGAGAACTTTCTCGGAACGTTCAAGGACGCGCACACCCTGACGCTGACCAACCCGGCGAAGGGCAAGCCGCCGAAAGACGTGACGTTCCGCCGTGCGCTCATCGCAGTGGGCGGCCGCCCCAAGTCGCTCGACTGCCCCGGCGCCGACCTCGCGATCTCGTCCGATGACATCTTTTCACGCCCGACGCCGCCGGGCAAGACGCTCGTTGTCGGCGCGTCGTACGTGGCGCTTGAGTGTGCTGGCTTCCTCAAGGGCCAGGGCTTTGACGTGACCGTCATGGTGCGCTCGATCCTCCTCCGCGGCTTTGACACGGACATGGCGGCCCGCATCGGCACGTACATGGAAGAGGAAGCCAAGATCAACTTCATCAAGGGCGCAGTGCCCACCTCGATCGAGCAGCTCCCGAACGGTCAACTCAAGGTGACGCACACGTTTGGCGAAGGCATCTACGACACGGTGCTCAACGCGACGGGGCGCTACCCGGACGTCTCGGGCCTCAACTTGTCCGCGGCCGGCGTCGGTCTCAACCCCAAGACGGGTCGCATCGCCGTGACGCACGAGCAGACGTCGACGCCGCACATTTACGCGGTGGGCGACGTCATTGACGGGCCGGAGCTCACGCCGGTGGCGATCCAAGCGGGGCGCCTTCTCTCTAAGCGCCTCTTTGACAACAGCGCGACGCTGATGGCGTACGACAAGGTGTGCACGGCGGTGTTTACGCCCATCGAGTACGGCTGCTGCGGCCTCTCGGAAGATGCGGCGGTCGAGGCGATTGGCGCCGACAACCTCGGCGTGTACCACCAGAGCTTCACGCCGCTCGAGTGGTCGCTCTCGCACGACCGCGCCCTTGCAAAGGAGTGCTACTGCAAGCTCATCGTCGACCGCACGCAGAATGACCGCGTCGTTGGCTTCCACTACCTGGGCCCGAACGCCGGCGAGGTCACCCAGGCCGTTGGCATTGCCATCAAGCTCAACGCGAGCTACGAAGACTTTGTGAGCACGGTCGGTATCCACCCGACGACGGCCGAGATCTTTACGACGCTCGAGATCACCAAGGAGAGCGGGCTCGATGCGTCCGCGGCGGGCTGCTGAGGTTAAGCCCTTCTCCGAGATGCCTCGGAGAAGGGCCGGGCGGTGAACGCCCACCGGCACACGCGAGTAGATCGTATTCCATGTGATGATCGTGCTACGGCCAAGGGACAGCTTTGGCCGTGGGTGGCCGCCGCAGCATGACGCTCCGTTTCGAAATCGTTTTTGAAGAAGCGGAGCCGACCACGCGCGCGGCCATGAGACTGCACTAACGAAGAACACGCAGTATGTGTGCTGAGGACGGCTGTGTGTGTGTTGTGTACAGAGCTGCAAAGTTAAATGCACCCAAGAGGCGATTGGGTGCTGCAGCTGCATGCTGCACGATCAAGGCGCCACGTGTCGCGAGGGATGTCCCCAGGATCTTCTTTGCCACTGAATTCATCGGAATCTAGGTGACACAGATTCGACCACGCTGTGTCTCGCAACGCGGCCATGCAGCCTATGGCTCGGCATCCCAACGACAAGGTAACGCTGCGTCGTGCCCAGCTCGATACCCACACGTCAGCTAGAGAGACTACTACAGTGGACATGTGTCGGTGCGTGGTCTCTCATGCTGCTGACGCCCGCCTACTTGCGACGGCGAATGGATGCGTCCGCCTGTCCGATACATGCTTTCGCAGCACTGCCTGACCACCCACACTTGAGCCATGCTATCTATACTGCTTGGTCCTTTTCGTGAATATAAGAGAAGTTGTTTGAGACGCGGGGATGAAGCGGGGCTCGACCGCCCTGCTATGCGGTGGTCTTCGCGTCTATGCTGCTTGATGGCGACGCTGTCGTCGGCCCCACTAGAGTCGAGTCACTTCCTCCTCCTCTTCCGTGCCTTCACAATGTCACCCAAGAGTCTGCGACTGACGCAACTTCTTTGTCATCGCAACGGGCTTGTGTTCGAGTTTCGCCCAATGGCCTTCGCCTCTGCCCCAGTGGAGCATCTGATTTGCCAAAAAGGAGACCCAAACCGACCTTCATCCGCCAATCGTACGCTCGTACAGCGTATCCAATGCGATGATTGGTTGATTCCCTGACGGTGCGTGTCGATGCGCCCGCGTCAATCATTTTCGGCGGCTCATTTTTGGTCATTTTCATTTTTCCCAAGTGACTACAAGAAGCAACAAGATGGCCCGCAAGTACGTGATCGGCGGCAACTGGAAGTGCGTACGTACCATGACCCTGCATCTCCCTGCCTGCGATCTGGAGGCTCATGGGATGTATCTGTGTAGAACGGCTCGCAGAGCTCGGTGGCCTCGTTGATTGAGATGCTCAACGGCGTCACGGTCGACACGGACTCGGTCGAGGTGATTGTGTCGCCGCCCGCGCTCTTCGTCGCGACGGCCCAGGCCCAGCTCAAGCCCGAGATCCGTGTCTGCTCGCAGAACGTGAGCTTGACCGGCCCCGGCGCCTTCACGGGCGAGATCGCCGCCGAGCAGCTCAAGGACTTGGGCCTGCAGTGGACGCTTGTTGGTCACTCGGAGCGCCGCTCGCTCTACGGCGAGACGGACACGATCGTCGCCCAGAAGACCAAGCGCGCCTTGGACCAGGGCCTCGACGTCATTGTGTGCATTGGCGAGACGCTCGAGGAGCGCAAGGCCGACCAGACGCTCAACGTCTTGACGCGCCAGCTCAAGGCCGTCGCCGACCTCTTGACGGAAGACCTTTGGTCGCGCATCGTTGTCGCGTACGAGCCCGTGTGGGCCATCGGCACGGGCGTCGTCGCGACCCCGGAGCAGGCGCAGGACGCCCACAAGAACCTCCGCGCGTGGATCGCTTCGACGATCTCGCCCGAGGTCGCCGCCAACTTGCGCATCATCTACGGCGGCTCGGTGAGCGCCAAGAACTGCAACGAACTCATTGCGCTCCACGACGTCGACGGCTTCCTCGTCGGCGGCGCCTCGCTCAAGCCCGAGTTTGTCGACATTATCCAGTCGGCCCAGTAAATTTCTCTTTGTTTGGACCTCGTCGCAATATAACTAAGTAGCATTCTAAAAGCAATGTCGTGTTGGCAGCGACGCACGCAAGAGCATCAAGCGATGGGTGTACACAGTTCGTTCATGGCTCGGTTGCTGAGATCCAGGGGTTGCGCCTTTTGACGCTCGGTGGTGCCTTGGCTGTTTCTGCCGGCCACCGCTAGGCCTCTGGCCGAATTGCATCAGCCAGTTTCAATACGTGGCTGCCTTTGCCGACACAGATGAATGCTGGGTTTCGTCTGGTAGTGGAAGGAGAGTGGCAGGTGTTATTGAAAATTTAACGGTTCACGTACCCACGAGTCCATGCCATTCGAGGACGAATACTCGTCGCAATTCTCTTGCAATTGAGCGGAGCACTTGGTGTCGGAACGTAGTTGTGCCACAAGGAGAGATCACAGTTGACAGCCGAGTCGTTCGCCGAGACGGCCGCCTATAACGTTGTGTTCTTGACAACTCCCACGCTTGACAACTCCCACGCGATGCATCTCTTCGACTTGATAACCGCCACAGAGACTGGCTCCGCGACTACATCACTTTACCTCGCCATTTGCACGCATCGAGTCCACAACACCAGTGCCTCACCCGTTCACAGCGCGGATTGAAAGTTCAGCCCTGTGTCTTCAATGCAAATCGTATCAAAAAGGACCTTTCACCAGCAACGCAGTGCACTTCGCGACAACATTGCGCTTGATATGAGGACACCATGCCTGCAGCTACAACAATATGGCACGCTTGTTCGTCTGGTGCTATCGCTCGTCGCGTCGCTAAGCGCTCTCGGTGACGACCCTTGGTGTGCGCGCTGCCTCGTTTCACGTAAACGTCAACAAGACGACCACTAATACACTTCGCTTGATGCAGCACGCCTCGCGAGCGCATTTGGAAGTCCCCATCTTTACAATTGCATGCGAATAACTCGTTTCAGCCACAATATACCTGCGTCTTTTGCGGTACTACTCAACAGACATCGGCTTCATCGTTTGATGAAACAAACATATATAGGCACATACCGTTATATGACAGTTCGTGACACCGACAGGCCACGGAGAACGGTACAGTGTGTCGTAGACCGAGCACTGCTCGTGCACATGAAAAGCTACTCCTCTCTTGTGACGTTAGCCTTGGCCAGGTGGACGCTCGTTGCAAGTGATCATTGCCGTGACGTCCGCGCAGGGATCGTTCACGTCCACAACTGGAACTTCAGGAAGCTCTCCTTCTATGCCGTACACACTGCCACCACGGCTCATCGCGGTAGCCCTCACACACTCTCGAGTTGCTCATAATGCAACAAAGCATGACATCGTGCGAGCACTGGCCCTCGCCTCGCGTATACGTGGCAAAAACGCCTTCCAACCTAAGATCACAGCGCTTCAATCTGATTGGCCGCGAAGCGGCGTCAACAATAATCTGAGTCTGGACATCGACAGGCGCGGGTGCTATTTCGTTTTCTGCGGCCTCGACGTTGCCCCAACAGGGTATTTCATCATACGTGCGTCTGTGAGAGCACACTCGTATGTGGGCTCGGAGCGAGCACCTCGCCGTGAGTGGTGCGACACTAAACCAGGCCCGGATGAGATGCACTGGCTGTAAAGTAGGACGATTGTTCTTATTTGGCTTGGCAGCATGGAGGATCGGGGCGTGAGCGCTGCATACACTCACTGCTCACACATAGATAGGGAGAGGCCCCTTCAGTGTCCCAGCGCGCGGTGCCGCTTCCATCACGCACGCGCGCAGGATACAGGTACGGTGGCAGCCATTACGGAAGGTCGCTTTCGAACGAACAAGATCGTCGTAAACAGCGCGAACTCCATCGAAATGAGATCAGCGGCTGTAATGTGAGCCTGCGCCAGGGCAATTAGGTGACCATTGCGACTGCGGAACGTCGGTTCCTGCGGACTCAGGACGTCTCGTCATCCTTGGGACACGAAGCGACCTGCCTACGGGCGTTAATCGCCCCTCGGACGCAATCATGGCGAGCGCACTGGATGTTTGCGTTCGTGGACGTGGCTAAAAAGACTCCACGTACGGCGCCCATCGCCTAATCTGGTTTCTTCTCAGAAATCCAGATCCCACTGCGCTGGGCGCGTGGTAGCCACACAAGTGGTACCGAAAGCTTTAGTAAACACAGCCGCGCCGCAGTGTACATCTGCGCAGGAAGTGCAACGACAACGTCTGTGCGCAGCCACATCCCTCGCGAGAGGCGTATGGGTGCCAAGGTCAAAAGAAGGCATCGACTTCAAGGCTGAGCTCGCTTCCTGACCCCAGACGTCGCGGCCACATGGCTTCCAAGTAGGTCACAGTCCCACGACGCGAGCTCTGAGGATGCAGCTGCCTCCGCAATCCATTTGGCCCATGCGCCAGAGCTTGCCATGATTCGCGCCTTTTTGGATGAGACGACGCCTGAGACAAGCCGTAGATATGGGACCCATTACCACATTGACTGTCACATTTCTCTTGGGTCGCTTCTGCAGGAGCGGCCGATGCTGCGATTTGCTTTGGCCTCTTGCACGAGGCTTGCGAGCTGCCGGAACCATGTACAATAGGCCGGCGGCGGAATATTGGGATAGAGGGAGGCCTTGGGGTGTAGTGTATGAGTCTGTATTGCATAGGTTGTTATCATAAAGCCTATTCTATCTAATTCTAGCGTCTATGGGGTGCCTTGTTAACACTGAGGCGGCGCGCCAGGCCATGCGCGCACTTCGTCCTTGACGACGTCGTAAAACACTTGGTCAATAAAGTTGGCGTCGATGAGGTCCAGCATTTCGCCGTCGTCGGAGCTGTTGTCGTCGTCGTCGCTCGAAACAACGGAAGTCGCGGCTTGCGTCTGCATCATCGCCGTCGGGTTGGCCTTCACGAGGCCCGAAGCTGGTGCGTTAGCCTTGTTCTTCTCTTCGTCGGCGGCCCAGAGCCGGTAGTGACGGCAGCAAAGACCCTTCTTGCGTACGTGCGACGAGCAGCCTTCGATCGTGCACATTTTGGCGCCGCCATGGCTAATGCACTTGCCGCCGAGGATCGCCTTGCGCACGCATCCAGCGAAGGAGCACCGCCTCCGGCTGTCGTCGCCGCTGTGTCGGTAGCAAAAGCCGGCTTGACGGGCGTTGCGGCAGCAGCCCTGGACACAGCACGACTTTTGGCCGCCGTGGCGCACGCAGAGGTTGCGCGCGTAGACCTGGTTGGTGCACTCTTCAACGAGGCAACGAGTCCGGCGGCGGTGGTAAATGCACTTCCACGAGCCAGGTTGGACCGGTTGATGGCAATCCTTGAAGTAGCAAACCGTGAG